TTACTCGGATTTTTCTCTTTTATCGAATCACCATTACGTAATAATAATAATGTTTTTTTCTATTTTCTTTTTATCTCATATGTCGCGGCATAATACATAACATAAGTAAACAGACATACATGTAAATAAATTTATGACATGTACATGTTCAATGTTTGACCGGTTAGATAAAAATTCTCTAATTAGTTTTTCTCATTCTCTTACTACTTCTACTACTCATAATAATCAGTAATCTTGATTTCCCAATATATACCGCCCACGCACATAATGTCATACTTTAAATTTATGAGACGGTTTTTTCCTGTTACTTAATTAATAAATTATTATTATTATTACTATTATCAATCTAAGTATTACGACCATACAGTAATATTTATATATATACATGACTGATTAATCAGTGGAAAAGTATTCTTAGAGAAGTAGTAGGTGAAAATAGTAACATAGTAGAAAGCATGAGTCAATTGAAGCTAGATCACCATGGAAAACCTGGAAACACTGGACGGCCGTTTCGTCCTATTATGGGACTCCTCAGCAGTGACCAGTGGAGTTCAAAACCACATCTGTTGTGAGATAGGAACTCACTGAAGACAATTGGTGAATGGTTGCTCAACTTCTTGAAGTTAGACATTAACACCGTTGGATGCCAGCTCAGTGGTCTATCGGTTAAGGGCTTCGGCTCGAGACTGGTAGGTCCTGGGTTCGAATCTCGCAAGAGCGGGTTCGTGGACGCGCACTGCTGAGGAGTCCCATAATAGGACGAAACGGCCGTCCAGTGTTTCCAGGTTTTCGATGGTGGTCTAGCTTCAATTGACTCATGCTTTCTACTATGAAACATACTAAATCTCCACAAAACCCCTTCTGAAAATAGTAACAATTAAGGTAAATTTAAGGCGAAATAAACACTTGAAATGATGTACTATTATACTTAATTTCAAAGTATATACATTTTTTTATAGATATGTAACTATGGTGGTTGTGTGAGAACTTTTTGAAAGTTAATTAATTTCATTATAAATTAACAGATATCTTGAGCGAATGGTTATTTTGTACTCATCTTGGACGTTTTAAGGACTCATTTAGATGGATGCATTTTTTACCATTGAGTTATCATTTGATAGTTTACATTTCTAAATTCAATTGATTTGTAATATTGTGTGCTTATTTTCTATTTGCCAATAACAATACCTGTTTCCCTCGAGACATTATTGAAACACACTGATTACGTTTCATTCAAGATAATAGTGGGACTGTGTTCAATTCTTACCGAGTTAACACGATGTAATCGCTTAGTCATTTAATAATTCCTTCCTAGAGGTGTGGCCACCTAATAAAACCACCTGTTTCGATTTGGTCACCCGGGCAGTATCACAGCCCTCACACAAATCAAATGAGATTTGTGTGGCGCATATGTATCTGGTGCTTCCTTGTACCAATATTTATGTGTTTAAATAAATAATATAATAAATAAATTCCTCCCTTAAAAACAAAATACCAGGTTGCAATATCAACACCAAAAGTGATCATTTGTTCAATTTTGCCATATATATATTTAATGTACAAAAGTAATATATTCGCCTAATTATTTCTGTAATTCATTCAATGCTTTTTCTATATGCAATATATCATATTGTTATTTTCTAGGCTTGTTACGACCTATTGGATAATAGTACACGTAATCAACTAGAAACACTTATACAACGACTTCGTAAACAAAATTGGTCTGAAGTATGGCGTCAAGGTTGCCCAGATATGGATAATACAATTTCATTGTAAATTCTACAGTGTAAACTTACATTCAATGACACCAAATTCAAGCCTTTCTTACTGTACAATCTATTCAAAAAAAATGTATTTGAGTTAATTGTATCCATACGTAACTAAATCCAAACAATCTATACCTTGAATTTCTTGATATGTAGCATATATATATATATGCGTACATATATTTAATGTTTATTTTTAGCTTTTATTGATTCAATTTTCATGTAAGAAGAAATTTACTGCACACATCATCTTTTGATTTGCTAAAGTTTTACGGGTTTTATTTTATTTGTCTTGGAATGCCTGAGTAGTTCATTTGAACGTTGATAATAACAAAATTATCATCTTTAGTATTATATGAATAGGTTTAGTTGAGATTTTTTTATCATATACAAATAATTATCATCATGGTAACAAACTTTTAAGCATTTGATTAGTATATTTATGTTCTTATCACTTATGAGTTAATATTCAACTCTTACAAAAAAGACTAATCACTTCATAATTCTTACATGTGCCCCAATAAAGGGGCTTAGGAATAATTAATTTAATCCTATCGACTAGATTTATTATTCTGTAGAGTAAGCGGTAACTCGACGGTCAAGGACTCGACTTTTGGTCAGTAATTACCTAGCTCGTACTCCGTTCTACGTATTTAGATTTGGGTTGCAGGGTGGTAGTTCCAGTAGTCTCCATAACTGGAATGTGATCTCAGATCAATTTTCACAAATCGTGTTTGTCAACTAAGTTATTAGTAGTGGTAGAAACATACCAAGTCATTCTGCACAGTTTTTCTGAATGTTGGGTTTACTCAACAAACTGTTTTAGATCTAGACTTTGTGTTTATCGGGACTCGACAGTTAAGTATGTATCAGTTACCTCTTCAACATCAACGTAATGTCAGAGATTCGAGTCCCTATCGTACAATACTTTTACCGAACACTATCGACAGATTAATATGAACGTATTCGTTCAAATTTCTTTGGCTGTAAATTCAATGGTAATTTATTGAGAACTTAACGCTTTCCGGTTATATAATATAGCTGTTTACTCTAGTCATTAAGAACTTTACTATATTGAATTAATTCTTATAAGATGTCAGTCAGTCAGCTGTTAGAGGTATGAGGGCAGTTATCACTTCCCGGTTGCCCACACCGTGGAAGGGTTCTTCTAGAGGTACCTGAAAAGGAAATTGGGTTAGAAGTGGTCTTAATGACCTGAGAGCGTGACCGCAGTGCCCAAGGGACAACTGCTTGAAGTCGATCACACACGACCTTTTTGTGGGTAGTTTTTGTGTTAGCTTCGTTCTTCAAAGGACCTTACCGCCAGAGACGGATATCCGTGGGATAAGGTGAGGTGTGCATTTTTAGAGTCGACCTTTTCTAACCCCACACCTCCTTGTGGGAAGTCAGCATGGCTGTTATGCTGGTTGTCTGAAGGAAACACCTTACTGCTGTCACACCTCTGTACAGTCATTAGTACGAATTCGCCTTCGAACCTTGGGTTTGCTGCTTTTAGTCTCATCGCTCTTCAAACGACCTGCCTGGCATGGTAGGACCTTGAGGAACGATTGTTCCAGCCAGTATAGCTCGATTGAATCATCACGATAGGCAAGCCCGACCACCACGTCAAGGTAGCAGCAACGGTCGGGCTTATAAGATGTTATTGTATGTTGTCTATGGTGTTAAGAAAAAGGAGTTTCGTATCCTATTTTATATCTGGAAATTAGCATGAATTTATTCCAAATATAGGAGCTGGTTAGTCCTCTTGAATCAATATCGAATTTTATTGTGCATTTTTCTTTAGCAAGGAAGTACATCTTTACAGTTTAACACAAGACTAAACCATATTCAAGCATTGTAAGCAAAGATGGATAGTGGCTAGCAGTGAAATCCAGGACGCGCGTTTCGTCCTATTTGGGACTCGTCCACTGCTAACCACTATCCGTCTTTGCTTACAATGCTTGTGAATTAAGGCTATATCGAGGCAATACGCACAGTATGCCTATATACCAATTAGAGACTGACCAGTTGCAGTCCTAAACATCGATGCGAAGATTCAAACAAAAAATACTAAGTGAACATACCCAACTAGTATTTTCAGCTTATTTGGTGGTTGAGTGCCACATATCGGAGTGTGATTTTCATTTCAAGATCTGATTTTTTAATTATATGTATCTTTTATCCTTCATATTAGATTGTCCTACACTGACATGTTCATACACAGCAGTTTCGAATAATTCTAATCGCTTGGAATGAAATCTCTTGTGAAAATTACACTTCAACATGCAGCACTCACCAATTGAAATGTTATATATAACGTTACTCGATTATTGAAAACGTGACAGATGGCCTTAGTTAATAAATTCTCAGTAATAAATGATGTGTTATTCAACCAAACAAGGTTGAAATAGTGACTTCTGGTTTTTAAAGTGTAACCCAAAGAGTCATAGGAGTATGTATTCATTTTGTGCCGATGGCGTTTTAAGGTAGATTTACTTAAAAGTTAGATCGCTTATGATTGGTATAAATCCTATCCGAGACATAATGAATAATTCATTACTGAGCACAAGTATTTCTGTCATATTGTTTTACATCCATTGATATTAGAAACTCATTTCATCGACCATTCAGAACGTTTATATGAATGTTATAAATTGTTTGTAAAAGTATTTCTGACTCAATAAACTACCCATTTATTTACTGAGTTTTTATATTAAAATCAGTCTCTTTTCAGATAGTAAGAATCGATTATAAACCGTGAAAAATCCTTAACTAACAATTAAACTCAGATTTCGTCACTTCCTTGTGATCCTTGTACACACTGATTTATGAGGCGTGTTGGGGTTTCATGGTCATCTCTAATGTCTCGTGTGCAACAATTTTGTGTAGTTTCGCGGATACTTTCACTAGTCAACATGTATGTCTCGCCAACTAACGGTAGTACCTAAATTTATCTCTTTCATCTGTTTTAAAGGTGGCTTGGCTAGATGCTTGCACCGATTTTAGTGAGGTTCTAGATTGTTAATATTGAAGTTTCAATTTTAAGCCTCTTTGTGACCAATGCGAATCTAACTAGTGAACAAGTCCCTAATAGAACAAAACGAATGTCCTGGATTACACTGCTAATAATCATAATCCATATATTCCATATAAACAACTGGAAGTTATTATTTTCTGTCTTTTGGTTAAAACTTTCAATACCTTATACTTTTCTCTTGCACAAAAAAGACTTACTTCAATTTACTTTTGTTTTTAATTAATATGAAATAAAAAATAACAGTGGTGATGATGAAAATAATAAAAGCAGTAATAAAGGCATTTGATATATAGTTCTAGGTGATGAGGATTGCTTGGGAGTATAGCGAATCGAAATAGTTCATCTGGATTCAATGAGATATCAAGGAGGTAATGAGTGATTGAGTAGAGTAGTGGTAGGTCAAATGCATAAAACATAGGATGTGTTAAAGATCCATATAATCAAAATCATTATCTACATGAAATCAAAATTATCTTGCAATAATTGGGTTTGAATGAGGAGTTTCGGGAGTTAGGGCTGTACAAACTGATAGGCAGATATAGAGAGGGTGGGGTATTATCGTTGTGCGTTTAGTGTTTTATACAACTACACATCGTTGTTATTAGTGGTATTTCTGTGCATAAATGATATATGGTCCGATGGCATAGAATAATATGGATGTACATTGTAATTAGGAAAGTTAGTTGATACTAATACTTCTTTTGATGACGATGATGATAATGTTGTTAAAGAAGGAATAGATGCATTTCTAGGTTTACGTCCTCTTCTTGGTTTATCACGCATATGTGTTTTAGTATGACGATTACGTTCATCGGAACGTGCAAATCGTCTGTCACATATTTTGCATTCATATGGTCGTTCACCAGTATGTGTACGACGATGTGTCATCAAATGATCACTTCGTGTAAATCCTTTTCCACAAATATCACATATAAACTGTTTAATTCCACTATGTGTACGTTGATGACGTTTAAGCTCATCAATTCGAACAAAACGTTTGTTGCAACTTGATATACCACATATAAATGGTTTCTGTTGATCAGATAATTTTTGACATTTGTTATGAATAGATTTTGGTTCAGTCTGTATGGTATTGTAATAATATTCACTTTTACACTGATTAAAATCAAATTTATTATCTATTACTTTATTTAATACAGAGCATGTAGAACAGGTGGGAACTCTTTCTGGAGTTATATAGCTTCGCTGATCACTGATAATTCCATTATGATTACTATTACCATCGATAGTTGGAATAATAACAATATCACTAGTTTGATATGTAGACCATGGTGTTTGATTTTCTGGTATGTTATATGTATTATCATATAGGTTTCTATAGTTAGAGGAGACAGTATCAGTATTAAATTTCGTCGAGTTTAATAAAGAATCGGTTGACCAGTGATCAAATATAGCATTTGAGTTATAATTTTTAATTGGAGTCGTGTGGGATTCCAATGATACTGTTCCATTCAATATTTCTAATTTTATTTCTTCAGTATTAGATGAATTCGGATGTGATTCTAAATTCAAATAAACCAAAGGAGACTGAGTTTGCGGTTGAGTGACTGTTTGATCATTTGTATTGGTAGCCAACGGTTTTAAATATTGTACTTCAAGTAATTGTGAATTATTTCTGTTTTGAATATTCTGTTCATCTTCACTTGGCTCAACTGAAATGGAAATCGAAGAGATTAATTTCTAATTTAAGGAAAAATGTCAATTTAAGTGTTACTATTCAAGATGAAGATGAACTTACCTTTTATTACTGGGTTCGGTGGATATATGAAATAGTTTTCAGATTCTTTGTCAAGTGGTGTTGGAGTATTTAAGTTTTCCCATTTAGAAAAATCTTTATAACTATCATCGGTTGCATAAGTTGGTGTATGTCCAGTCGGTATATCATTAAAAGCTGCCTTAATATCGCCAGTCGGTAGCATCCAGTCTATTAGGTTACTGTTTAACGTTCTTAGCATTCTCACCTATTAATATGCGTATCATCTGTACTACAACTCGTATTTATCTTGCCGAATAACACCTAGTCATCTGTAACCAATAGAAGTTATCCCACCAACGCATTGTTATTTTAAGTAACTAAAATTTATCGCTAAATATATCAACCAATTAAAAACGAACAAGTAACTTGGATTAACCTTGAAATTAGCCAATGAACTTAAAAATATTAATTACAGACATTATAGATCACACCCCTTTGATTTTAAAAGATGAGCCGTCAAAGTTCGATTACTTCATAATTTCTTATTGACATTAACGATTTGAAAGTAGTGGGTGTGATTTCATCATGTTTTTTTTTCTAAATTCCTATAATAATTTTTTCCGTTTATTTCCTATGAATATAAAAGATTGAAAATGTTTTATCTTCACCAAAAATTCCTTGAATCATAATTATTTTTCTCCTAAAATCATTTCCTTTTTCAATACAGATAAATATGAATCGTTTTATTAATCCTTCGTGTAAAGGATCCAGAAATTTTTTTTAAAATCATAACATATATGGTTCTTTTAGTATGATGATGAATGATCTTGGCCTTTAAATAATAGGAGAAAATATGAATAATTTTAGTGAAATTTATAGTCAAATTTTCAGTTTTGTAGAGAGTTTATAAATTTAAGTATATTTCGTATCACATAAATCTGTGGAAGTAGTTGATGTGGGAATCGACGTAAAAGATGGATATCTATCTGTTGTAACTAGCTACGGCAGAATGTATAAACTTGTCTATATAAGTTGTCTAAATGTGTTTGCTTAACTTTACTGCTGTACATAAAATGCAGTGATCTAAGATATTATCATTTATCTACTAATTTACAAGTTTATACGTGGATTACATTAACACATTCTTAATATATACATAGTAATTGTATTGATTCATTGATGTTTATTCCCTGTCGACCAGTTTTCTGTCGTTAACATATTCAGTTATTGTTGTTTTGCTAAGTGAATAACGCAATGGCGTTTGAAGTGAACGGTACTGAGTCTAAGTCTCAGAGTGAAAATCAACTCTGAGATTCAAGTACATCCAGCTGACGAGTCCCAAATAGAATGAATCACACTTCCTTGATTCCACTGCTAGCCACTATCCTGTTTTGTTATTTTGCTATATGTATGATCATTGTAACTGCTCCTATTATTGTCATTATTACAATTATTATTTCATACACTGTACTCATTTATAGATATGAAAAGTTGTACATGTCATCATGGGTAAGTGTTTGCTTGGTCCAATTCTTGATAACCAGTGCTCAGCCTCTATCAGTCATTGTCGACATGTATGCGCACGAGTCACGGATTCCACGACTAGCTACATACCATCTATTCTAAGTAGTAAGTTGTACACAAATGATGACTGAAGTCTATGAGAAAACGTTAGAAGTTAAAGCATTCAACTTTTTTCCAACAATTTCTAGGCCCGAACCCTAGATGACTCTAGTTACACCAATCGTCATATCAGAAGATATGACTCAAAGCTAAGTACTCGTACGTCTACTTATTTGAGTTCACTGAAAAATAAACTCGGCAGCGACTTTCAAAATAATAACTTTGGTGTAAGTAGTCTTCCGCTCTGACAACTGAAATACTATGCGACCTGATTATTTTCAAGGTTTGAATCTTTTCCTAAATGTTGATTGTTGTGGTTAACTATCCTCTGACCAATAGATACACAAATGCTTACATTTCATCATATTATGAATTGGGTCGAGTTTTTATTTTGATTAGTTGTAAAGTCATATACTCGGGTGTTTTCAGGAGCTTTGTATAGTTTACAGATAATTTTCATCCTAGTTTGGATGTAGTCAGTTAGCTATTGAAACCAAATAGATCAGAAAGTTTGTTCCGAGGTCGTTTGAAAATTGTAGACCAACTGGTTCTGGTTTAATGGTTTTATGTCACTCCATATGTCGTGAACAAGAACACGGGTGGAGACAATCGAATGTGTGTGATACGAAAATTACAGACTATCTCACTAAAATCTGACAGTTAATTTGCAAATTATCAATCAATTGTCTCAATCTTGACCATTCCTTCTGCAAATATCAGTCCACAGTCTCCGATTATTAATGTTCATGCATTGTCATACCAACTGCGTCCCGTTCCCGTTCTTTCATTATCGATCTTCTACTGAAATACATTCAATACCCGACCATCGTTATATACTAATTATGTGGATATAAGTAACCCACACCATACAGACTGATATTCTTGGGGTTAATTTTGTCTAGTCATGTAAGTGTACACTACTAAATAGTCATGGATTAAAATAATTAGATGTGTAGTGTGACCTAATTTCCAATGGTTCACCAGTTTATCTTAACGTCTATACAAAAAGTAAACCCGTCTAGCTACATTTCTGAAACACTCACACTGTTAATGAACTTCTCTTTAAAAAGAAGGTAGTATGCTGAAATGATTTGTTATTTTTACCATTACAGTCTAACAAACTACTTGTTGTACTATACACTTCTGTATCAATTAGAGTCAAGTCGTAGTGTAAAGTTTATTAAATTATTTGAATACTTCGTAGATTAGAAAGGACAATGATTTTCATGTATTTTATTATTAAATATCTTCAAAAATCAGAGAACTATTTTAAGTCTGAAAACTTATCACAGATTACTTTTTTAGTGCAGTTTCATGATTGTTATATCCCCTGGTGAATTATGAATGGTAACTCTAAGGACTATTCATCGACCAATGTATTATGCCTATTTCCTATTTTACAGTTGTTACGTAACTAAACTATTCTCTTATCATTAGCTTTATTTTGATCTTTGATTTATGATCATACGATTCTTTAGTTATAATCAGTTTATTGATTACTTTGGTTTGTATAAAAACCCAGTGTGTTTGTAAATAATGATTCATATTGCCGAGGCTGTTATTTGTGTTCTGCACTCAACTGGCTGGGCTAGGCAGATAGGAAGGACCGAACAGCACCCAAGACTGCTCGTACGATTTCAAGTATCATTTGCGTCCGGTCAATAAATCCACTACCTCTCAAATTGCACGTTCTTATAAATTACGATCCCCATACGTTATAAGAATGATGCTAAACATGGTTCAACTGGAAGATCCAGTGTCTGTGTAAATTTAGATCAGAAGTTTTGTGGAGAATTTAGTAATTTCATAGTTGAAACCATAATTCAATTGAAGCTAGACCACCATGGAAAACCTGGAAACACTGCTTGACGACCGTTTCGTCCTATTATGGGACTCCTCAGCAGTGCCCATCCACGATACCGCACTAGCGAGATTCGAACCCAGGACCTACCAGTCTCGTTGGTGCGCACTGCTGAGGAGTCCCATAATAGGACGAAACAATCGTCAAGCCGTGCTTCCAAGTTTTTCATGGTGGTCTAACTTCAATTGACTCATGGTTTCAACTATATGTAAATTTAATCAATCTATTTAATTCGTCTAGATACATTCAGATCAATGATAATAATATTTGAGTTCTAGATCTAAACTAAGAAAGTAAATTTTCTTATATTGATAAAAGAGATTCTCATTCATTTTAGACACCATGCTTGTATATTACTGATTTTAGTAATATTGTTTTTTTTTCTCCCTTACAATAATCAATTTTTAACACGTCAACTAGCTACTTATAATAAATCTATCAATGATCATTTAATTCATTAGGATATATGTCTAATTTGGAATTTAGTTTATGTATTGATCCATAGTCGTCACATGTGAATAGCATGTAGCGATTAAAAAAAATAAACGCCCACGCATGTCTGTCATGCCAAATAAGTTTCTACATTTGAAAAAAAAATTTTCAATTTACATAATTGATAGGCTGATATTCGAATAGTTTCAACCTTGAAATTTGATTGGTTGTTCAAATGATGGAATATTTTGAAATGTATTTTTAACCTTTTCTAAGTGTATTCGTTGCTATTTTAAAGATATGAGTAACTTGTTGTTTAGTTTTGTCAATTTATTTGATGTATAATTAAATGTTACTTGAAGTGTTATGATTTCAGGAAATTGGTTTGTTGTATTTATTTGCTTAAACTTCATTGAATGAGAAATCACATTCGAAACACAATCAGGTATATAAATGTAATGAAATCCTTCGTTGATTATCGATAATCTTCAATTGTTCAATGATATTTCATAAGTTGTTACAGTATTTTCACTTAGTTCCTCATGCATCATCTCAATGATGAGTTTAATGGAGGTGCTAGCTTTCTGGAAACTAAACAATAACATCCTCAGGTATTATACAATTTGGTTGCAGAAGCTATTATATTTAATGTACATCAGTTCATTAGGAATGATTAATTTCTTGCACAGTTTTTAACAAGACTATAATTTATAGACTAACCAATTGAATTTCAGATTTTGTCCCTTGGATTTTCGCACGAAACTCATTCATCCATATGGTCAAATGGCATTTTGGCTTTATGGCTCATGTCAATTCGTGATAAATACACTAACTCTATTTCTTAACCCTTACTTTTAACACTAACTTTATAAATTGGATTTCACACATTAATTCATAACGTTGCTCTAAAACTATTAGATAGTTGTATTTTCTCAGAGTCACTTTGGTTCCTCTCGAAGGTCGTTCATAAATTATGGTCATATGCAAGTTTTTTTTGTTGGACTCTTTACAAGTAACGTTGCGTAGTTAATAAATAGGTTATAATTTTATGATTTAAACGTCTGTGGATTAATGCATTTGGATTCGAACCGGGTGAAATCAGATCTACTCACAACAATTCGCTATTGTCAGTCATAGACAACGTGCTAACTGCCACAAACCCACTGCATATCAACTTGACATACCTCATGTTATCGCAAGATAGGGGGTTGACAAGAATAAAGATATAGGAGGGGAAACTAATAATATCGACTGTAATGAGGACCCAGACATCAGAAATATAAAACCAAGGGGATAAATGAAATGGAATCATCATGAAAATCAAGATTACAATAAACCCTTCCCATCTTCAATCTAAAGGCTCAAACCTGGAATTGTACACTACACAGCTTGAAAGTCCGTATCGACACATCTCTAGTTGGACAAATACAAATTTGGAAGTAGTTCAGGTTAAAATTTTATAATTTACATCACGGACTCACCTTGGTTCCATGACCACTGAAAACCAAGAGACGTTACTCAGCTGATTCGTTCTAGTACGGGACTCAGTAGTGTGGATGCGTTATCAACGAGCAGGTACCTTTAGATCTTGTAGAGAGAACTTAACCTTTAAACTATTGAGCTGACGAAATTTGAAGGTTCTGATTTCGTGGA